ACGAATCGGCGAGAATGAACGAGGATTGATACCAAACGAGATCTCTACCGCGCATGAATCGGTGCATCCGACCCGATAGATCGTCTCGCGGCTAAACAAATCACTCGGTTGAGAACGAACGATCGATAGCATCTACGTGCGTCGATCGGGCACAACGGCGACATAATTCTTACAATGGCGGTCCGACGCATCGCCGCAAATTGCGCGCTTGCATGATCCGACCGATCGATTAATCACCGCGAGATTTACGAGGGATTTGTTAAACCTCTACGAGACTTGCACGACTGTGTAATGCAATTGCACATTTGCACGCTCTTACATATTTCCACAAATATATATCGGATATCGGTAGCGTTAATGTAACGTTACAGAGGATGTCAATATTAATGATTTCTTTCTGAAAACTATGAACTTGTTTTTTTTTTTTAATATTAAAAAGTTTTATATTATTTATTTATTTTTTTACACTGAAAATTTTATTATAAAATTGACGATGTATTTGTAATGTAAATTATGATTAGCTTTTGTGGATTTCTCTTTGCAAAAAATTGCGATGCATGATGGGAGGAGATTATCGAAAGAAATTATACTCGTGAGAGAAAATCAAATGCAAAAACTTGATAAAAATTGAATAAGGTGTTATTCGATTCGGTAATATTGGTTTAGCTAGCATAATCGGTCTCTTAAGATTCGTCAGTATTAAGATTGCGTCACACTGAAATCCCTCACATAGTGAATAAAAACATACGTGCGACATTTACACAGTACCAAGGATATTTCGCATAATTCACGAGGTTACATAATTGACAAGCAAGTGGATCACGATCATTTCGACGTGTGTATACGTTCGCGGCAAGTGGAACGTTATTTGCAATATTCCTCTTTCATCAGTATACAGCAATATTGAAAGAATGTCGCCGATGCACCATGTATATTTATGCATATGTCAGTCGGCGACGCTGATGCAATGTGAGTAATCTGCGCGAGATAGGCGGTATAATTTTCTTTTATCCGTAAACGGGCCATGACTCAACCCTCCGTTAAAGAAGTCGAAATTATGTTCGATATTATTAGCCATACGAGCAATTCAGAAAATTGAAAAGTGTATTCCAGCCATTGCGAGCGCTCTTTCTCGATACATACTTTCTCGAGAGCAAGATTCTAGAGACAGTATTCACGTATCGCTACCTCAATTACGTGACGTAAATCGAGAGTGAAACATTCGTATATTTCAAATGTCTATATCGATATTAATCCACTGGCGTATAATTTAATTTGATATTACATGACGCATAAAACTATTATACCTATGATATCATTGCCTATCAATATCTTTTTTTCAACAAGTCTTTCCAAGTCATACATCTGAGCTATATATGTCTATATTACGTTATTCGTGCTGTATTACCTTCAAGTATTCACGGAATCAATATGGCACGAGCGAATTGAGACGATTATATGTTCTAGAAAAACGACGAAAAGATATTTTCCGATTTCCGGAAGTGAAATTACTCGCTATTTGTTCTGTTGTCGTCTGAGTTATTCTTTCGCCTAGAATAATGAAGAATAATGAACGAGACAGAGAAGAGAACATTGCGAAAAAGAGAGCCGAAGAAGGCCGCGAGAGAGGTGGAGAAAGAAGAAGAGGAGACTACTCGCGCAATTAAATTACGGCGTAAGTCCCGCTCCGAGGATAATGCCCCGGAATGCTGATAATTGGCCGAACCGTCCGGGCGACCCGAGACGAAGGGCTCACAGGTGCAGCTGGCGGCGCGGCACCGCGAAGAGATCATCGGCCCTCGTGTCTAATTGATTCGAAGTGATTTATATTATCTGCCGTTCCTCTGCACCTCCGGCATTCCACGCGCATCGTGGTGATCATCAAAATGCTCAGATGAATTGTCGTTCAGAGAAATATTTCGAGACACAGATTGAACAGCTCTCCTTGATCAATCTATGATCCATGCGCGTTCTATTAGAATCTGTAGTTTAATGGAAATTTGATTAACACGAGATTCGTTAATTTAGATAATGAATATATTATATATAAATATTATCTTATCTTGCTGCAATATAACAGATTGAAATAATCTTTTCTTTGTTGGAGAAAAAAAAAAAATCTTGACTGTGTATGTATGTCTTAGTCATATTTCATAAAAATTGCCCCGAGGAGCACTCTTTTTCTCGACTTTTTTGATATTCGTTCAGATTTAGGACCGATCTCAACGGCGCCTGGAAATCCGAGTGAAGGAGAAGGCTGCGAAAAAAGAGGAGCGAGGACGCGCGCTCTCTCGTAAACGATCCGGCCGCGTGAGCTCGAAAGAGCTCGATGCTTCCGTCATGTTAAAGGGCCCGATGTGCCGTTTCGAACGGAGCCGGAACGAGATGGAACGAGCGATCGATCGGCCATGAAGGAAGAAGAAGAAGAAGCAGAGGAGAGCCAGCCAGGCCTCTCTCGCTCTCGAGGCACCGATATCAGATCGCTCGTATAAAACTATCGTATCGTTTAAATACGCACTGAAAGGTGAGGCGATGCATCAGAAGATACGCGGGCGGTGGCAGGCAGCCTTCTTCTCTCTCCCCAGGCCTGCGTCCTCCCGTTCCGTCCGCGCTGTCGATCCGCGCTGAAGATACCCGCCTGGAATCCATGGGAACCACGGAGAACCAGGCTTAACGCGTATAACTCCTCCCTAGCGTCGCAGCGGAGTCCACCATCAGGACCTCGTACGTCTCTCATCTCCGCGTTTGCCTCCGGTTTTCTACTTTGATACACATACGTGCTTTCTCTTTCTTTCACTCGATTTAATTTTTTTTATATTTATGATATTGAGATTATATTATAAGTAGTGTGAGACAATAATATATCGTTTTAGAAATTCAAAAATTGTAGGAGAGTTATATATATGTAATAATGAAAATTTATATAAGATACGACAGACATATATAAGTCAAAAATGGAAGGAGATGATAAATGCAAAGAGAACGATCGGAACAATACGTGTTGTTCTCGTCGGCGGCACAATGATCGATATTATCAACATCACCGTCTATATCGAGATAATTGACAGCGAATCGCACAAAGTTTCTGAAAAGAGAGAAACCGAGATGCGATCGCGACGCAATTTCGCATCGTCGTAGCATCCCTGCTCGATATTCACGATAGCTACTGTGATTTTGCTCTTCTCTCCTTTGGCTTGAATCCGTAATTGGGCGGGCATTCCACGTTATGAGTTAATTCCGACGTACCGGCGTCGGAGCGGAGATCATATCGATACGATTCAAGATCCGCGAAACGATCTCGACTCTCGACGAGTATTTCGCAAGGACGATGTCAATTTAACGAGAAGACATTCCGTATTTAAATTTTGCATTATATATAATATTCAAACATTATAAATTGTTTTTTAAGTACGCATTTACTAAATAAATAAAACTACTAAATAAATTGTAAGCAAGAAAGAGAGATATTAACATTTAGAATGATTTATATAAAGTAAGAGTTAAAGAAACGCGTGTGAAATGCACACGTAGAATGCGAAAATGAAAACGTGATCTGACATGCATCCTGCGAAAACCGGATGCTCGCTGGAGGTTAGAGACAATGGTCGACCGAGCGATATTCCGTTTTGAAAAGGGGTGAAATTCCGCGTCGTGTGCATTGTCCGCTTAATGATTGAGTGGAGACGTGACAGGTGAAACCGAATACACGCACACGCTCCACTGGAGGAGTTTGCACCGGGCGCGAGTCTCCCTGGATCCCCATGGGTACACCTATCGCAGTCAGACAAGCGTGGGCTGGAATTGTGGGATCCACCAATGGGCCTCTGCTCCCAAGACCTTCGACATTGACGATATTCCCCTTTCATGCTGATCTTTTCGTGAGACCTATTCGCGATTGGCGCCACCCACAACTCTCTAAACTACCGGATAGAATAATGCAATTTGATATCTCGGACGTGGGGTGTGTACGGATTCAAGATCAAGTGATTGAAAAAAATTGTAGTATTAAAGAATGTTTGCTTGTATATGTAATCCGATGAGAAATCACGATATTTAAATAATTTTGTTATTTGCAATTTTAAACAAGCGTTAATCGCATACTATTACATCAATTAATTGTCATATATAACTTCTATTTTGTAATTGTAATATAAGCAACTATTGCATATGTATATGTGCAGCGTGTCTAATATTAAATTATATCTTGCATCGCATGTCTATTTTATACTTGACATGTGGATAACAATGTACGGAGATCTTGCAATGTCATAGGAATAAATGTTCTAATATATATATAACTCGTTCATGGTTAAACGCTGTCGTAATCAGATCTATGCCTGCATGGATCAACTGACCTAGATCATTCAGCCAAGTAATGATCTCCGCAAGACATGTTCGTTGAAAAGTTGCTTCAGTATTTTTAAAACTATTAGTCTAAGAAATACTAATGACAAAAAAGTATTATTATGAGTATAATATTGTATATTTATTAATCATATTATTCTGCAGTGCATATGAAAAGTAAGTGTTAAAATTTTTCGATTCAACGATCAATTTTAGCAAACTGATCCTCGCGAAATTTATTAGCACAAAATTATTCTTAAATGAAACTCTCTGGAATTTATTTGAAACTACATCATTAATTAATGTACATCTTAAAGATCTCCGGTATACACATACACATACGAAGGCTCTGAATTGTCTTATTCGCCGATCGACGCGTAATCCGATTTGTTTCTCGAGCGATCTGATTGCGCGACCTTCTTCAACTTTACTCGCCGACATTGCTTCTTATCTCCCGGCATCCTCCTTCGAGACTCTCTATATGTGACCGGGAGAAGATTCTTGCTAATTTTTTTTTTTTTTTTATTTCCATTCGTTTACCGTGCACATGGCGCGCTTCTTCTTATTTCGCGATTGGTGATTTATGTCGCCGATCACACTACTACCACGGTAATAGTCCATTAATTGATCTTGGATTCTCCACCATATGCTTTCAGATACGCGGGAGACGGGTTTCGTGAATGCCATCACCGCCGCTGGAGTTACTTATGCGATTACGAGAGCCTGCACTATGGGTGACCTCGTGGAATGTTCTTGCGATAAGATGACGTCGAAGGGTAAAAGCTTGCTCCTTTAATCTCTCTTATAATTTAATTCGCATATCGCTTTCTCATTAATCTCACACAGAAGAAATTTTACAATAATCTATAAACTTTAAAAATTTTTCTCAATATACTAAAATTATTATTATTTTCCAAAATAAATAAAAAGCATTATATTTTTATATCTCTACATTTTTATCAAGAAAATTATGTAGCGTAATGTCGATAATAAGTTTCTCAAAACTGCAGTTATAATGTGCAATTTTTTTCCGCATTATATATGTAATATCGTCAGTATTTCCGCAATTAAATTTTGAAAGAGGAAGAAAATGTGGTGATTTTTGCGCAGGTAATCGTTTGGCTAAATTCGTACGCGCAGCCAAAGCTCAGAAAAGTTTGCCAGCGGAGGGAGAATGGGAATGGGGTGGGTGCGGCGATAACGTGAACTTCGGCTTCAGAAAATCTCGAGATTTTATGGATGCGCCTTATCGTAAACGGAGCGACATTAAAACGCTAGTAAAGCTTCATAACAATGATGCTGGACGTTTGGTAAGAAATATTTTTTATATTTATTCTTTTATGCATATCTAATCGATACGCTGTATCTTTCTATTGCTTCTTATCATTGCTTACTAGCTTGATGATAATAATCTTTTTATAATTTTTTTATGCTACTATTTTCATAAGGTACAGTTGCACAATTTCGTGAAAATATTGTGTATCATTCTCATAATTGCATACAATTGCTAAATGTAGATAAATGAGAAATATTTATTTAAAAGAATTCATAAAATGCGTTTAATAATTACTATAAATCAATGTATATTTCAGTTTTATTTTTTTATGATGCTGATTTTACATCTTCAATACTCTAACAGATGTTTCGTTTTAATAAAACCAGAGGTTGGTGATTTTAAAATTATCACGGCTATAATTAATAGGCGATGTGATTTATATCAATACAATACATAAAACTGACCTCATTCTCAACTATTGATTCTTCGATGCATTTGTATTCGATTTGCTTTGTATCATTGTTAGAATTTTAAAACCGTCAAATCACGTTAGAGAGATGACGTTAAGAGATAAATTGCAATTCGACGTGCTGCTTACATTCGCTCCTCAGGCTGTACGCAACTTTATGAAGACCGAGTGCAAATGTCACGGGCTTTCCGGTTCCTGCACGGTGCGCACTTGTTGGCGCAAAATGCCACCGTTCCGGGAGGTCGGTAATCGCCTGAAGGAGTCCTTTGACGGCGCGGCCAAGGTCATTCCCAGCAACGACGGTCACAATTTCATCACCGAGGGTCCCACGATCAAGCCGCCCGGTAGATTCGATCTGATCTATAGCGAAGACTCGCCGGACTTTTGCAAGCTGAATCGCAAGACCGGCTCGCTGGGGACGGCGGGTCGTCAATGCAATGCGACTAGTCCTGGAATCGAGGGCTGTGAGTTGCTCTGCTGCGGCAGAGGTTACGATACGAGAGTCATCAAGGAGAAGATCAATTGCCAGTGTAGGTTTCGATGGTGTTGCGAGGTCACGTGCAACACTTGCCTTGTCAAGAAGACCGTCAACACTTGCCGCTAGAGTGTCGACGTAAGTGAAAAACTTTTGACATAACGATATAAATATAGGTGTATAACAATCTCGAGAGAATATTTCGAGTTGATTTTGCATCGGTTTTGCACGTTAAAGTAGATTAAGGAGATACAAAGTACCGAGAGGAATGATTTATATTTTTTGTTCGAGTCTCATTGTGGATGGGGGTCATAATGATACGACTCAGAATATAATTATAGTCGAAGTTGCGGAATTTTGGAGAGAGTGTTAAATGTTAAAAATTGTGCATTTTTTATCAATGAAAAAGAATATTCACGAATATTCAATCAAACTTTTTCTTATTGTCTCACTATCAATTTTTTGGAGAGAGTATTAAATGTTAAAAATTGTGCTTTTTTATCAATAAAAAGGAATATTCACGAATATTCAATCAAACTTTTTCTAGTTGTCTCGCTATCAATTTCTATAAGAGACGTTAATGATGAACTTACAATTATTGCAGCATTCAAGCCATTTGATATATCATTGCGTGTGTATTAATTGGCTGGCATATGAAGCATGTTTTTTTGAGATTGTTCAATACTGATGCTTAACGCGATGGTTAAAACTTTTCGATTTTTATCAAGACTGCTATCGCTATCGATGCAATCTTCCCTCGGTACGCTCGTGAAAATGCTCGATTACATAATAACGTTTTGTAATATATATGAATTTTTAGGATTACGGCTCGATCGTGAATGTTTATAGACGAATGTTCAGATGATCATGTGATTTACGATTTACCGTGATCGAGACTTTCGGTCTCAGTTAAATCTAGGTTACTAGATATATGCGTTTAGGATTTCTAACAAGATTTATCGTACGCGCGAACGCGAGAAGCGGAGTCGAGAACGTCAGTAGTGCATGCGCGTGCTGAGTCAGACGCGAGTTGCGATGCAACTAGACGCGATTCTTCTTTGCGTTTTGCGGGACAATATGTATCTTCGACTGTGTATCTATGAATTGACGGTAACTGTAAAACCGGATATTTTTGATATAGAATTTGATGTACTAGATCTTATCGATAAAATATTAACGTTGACAATATAGGTTGCAGTCAAAGATTTTTATTGTTATAATCGGGATCGGTTCTACATTCATATCGCCCTCCAGATTTTTATTAAACTGTTAATTTCTTCAAACTTTGGTAAAATAATTTGCAATGTTAATTAAAGATTAATTAATTAATTAAAAATATTTTTTTCTAATTTTAGCGACAACAAACTGTCTCAATATTCTCAGGATTAAACCTTATTAATCTATTTTTCATATCTTTAATAAAGAAATTTGAATATATTTTAATGAGAAAAACGAATCGTTTTGACGAGGTCTAACGGGTTTTTGTTATGTAAAATCGATCCTACGTATAATAGTTGTTATCAACATCGCTGATGTTGTTGACGCGAGGTGATAGTTTTTTTTTTTTTTTACTCGTGCTGAAGCTTTCCACGTATCTCCAGTGCTCGTAATACATATTAATACGCACGTGTAGTCGTATGATGAATTTATGTAAAATATATCCGTCGGACCATCATAACGCGCCGGTATTCGCATAGTAATGTCCGGTGAATCGCTTTTCTGCTTGAATCGCCGCGAGGTCGAGCTTCGAGCAAAATCCCGAGTGATCAATTCGACATTAACGGCATATCAAAAACATCTCGACGTTATGTCGTATCGAGTTTTTATGCAAATTTTCTCTTGTTGATTATACAGTTGGAAAACTCGGGATCTTGCTTTCGCTTCGCGCGCGCGCCTGTGTATCCAATTATGTTGCTTTTTTTTTTCTCGCGTGATATATAAGCTTTGTGCCATACGTTGCGGTTCGATCGATCGATATTTGTCAAGCATGTACCGATCAACGAGCTTTACACGAGCTTCTTCTGTTTCTCAAATAATTACTTTTTATCGGCTAACGAACCTTATCGCGTCACAGGGCTTCCCTTTTTGTGTACATAAGACTGAATTTATTAATGTTTGCACTCTTGCGTAATATGAGTTAGGTACGGAAAAAAATTGTACTTGGACGAATCTCGTTTGTTACTATTAAGATTTATTAGCAGTGACGACTTATTTTAGGATGCGAACATATATAGAAGGAAGAAATATATGATTAATTTGAAATTTTAGTATTTAACTTGTGTATTCAACTCCACTTCGAACGATCCTTCTATGATTATCCTTCGCGCTATTATTATTTCAGGTAAGTGTGAAATTATGCTATACAATTTTAATTACGACGATATCTCGTAATGTTTAATAGGTATATAGTGATCCGACAAGTATAGAGTATATTATTGCACATTCAAAATTTTTGAAATCTTTTTTTCTCTTCAAATATTTAACTTAGATAGTAGAGATAAATTTAAAAAAGGTGATGAAGAGATATCGGTGTTATAAAATTTATTCTGTTTGTACATTAGTTTCGTTTTCTCTTTAGAGTTTGAGATTGAGCGTGTCAACAGTCTTCAGGCCTTTGTTAGTGTTAGATATTTGCCAAGTTTGTTTTTCTCTCTGATTTTGTTGATAGCTATTATTTGGATAGGACATTGGATAAAAAAAAAAATCTTTTGTTAAACTTTGAGTAAAAAAGAAGCGCTAAAAGATTAATCTCGAAAGACGTCCTCAAACGACGAGGAATTTTTTTGGTACCTACGTTCTCACGTGCCTGAAGACATGGTAATAGGGATAAATTAAGGAAACACCGAGGTCTCGTATATCAAGGTATCGTGTAAAACACGAACTTTTACCTGTAATTCAGGTTTATACACGACAGTCGACAATCGAGCAGTAAAGGACTACCACCATTTCTTGTAAAATAGTTTTACGGCCACCGTCAAAAGAGAGGAATTTCGCATAACCATAAAGTTGCCGAAGACTCGCGTCATATCGCGTGCACTCGGCGCGTTTCGACGATAACGGAAGCCATAAACTGAAAAAAAAGCGAGCCTTTTCCTGTCTTCCATGCTTTATTTTTTATTACATTTTCCGCCCTGTCGACAGTTTTTTCAAATCTAAATTTCTGGAAATTAACAGATTTTCTTTTTGATTTATGAATATTGCAGAGAGTTTAGTCTTGTAGTTATAGTGTTGAGATTACTAATTTTTAACAAACAGATTAAAATATATTTATGAAGTGACAAAATAATGAAATATTTATGAAAATAATATCATTTTTACGTTTGTACAGAACACTAATTAGAATTTTAATTAATTTTCCAATGACGCAACTTTTAGAATCTTTAGACTTACAATTAGATATATTTTTCAGAGAAGATTTAATTCGTCTTTTTATCTTTTTTCAATTTTTTAATTAAGGAGAGAAAAGTTTTTTATATATTGTGTGTGATTTTTATTATAACAACGATTTTATACATTATATCTATACTTCCAGATAATACATATTATAATTACAAAATAATTAGAGAGAAAGCGATAATCTAATAACAAACAAACAGCGGTTTTCACAGCATCTGTTAAATTGCTGTGTCTGACTGATGATATTCACAGTATAAATTTTCCGCATAACATCACGAACGTCCGAGATTACTCGGGATTAACTTGGCGATTCACCACCAACCAACGGTTCCACGCATTCCCACACAAGCCGCTCTAAAAAAAAAAAAAAAAGAAAAACCCTCTTTAAAGAAAAGACTCTTAGAGAGGCGAGCTTACACCCTCCAATTTAATACGTGACGCGGCACGGCACGGCGTGCGAGCGCGTCCGGGTAAAAGTCTCTTAATAGAGAGGTCGACCTCTCGAAGGTATGAAAGTGGTGAGGCGCAATTAGCCCCACCAAGGGGGACTGTCTGGACTCGATTAGCCCATGGCCAGGAGATTGGTCTGCCGCGGCACGACTGGGTGGTCCGAGCGGGGTAATTTTCGGCTGCCGTCGACGTTCTCCCCTTCGGGGGAAAAATGGCCCCTCGAAATTGGCCCTGGAGTTACCGCGCGCCGTAGGTCCGTCGTCCGCCATTTTTAGAATCTCCACATCTCTTGCCCCTCGTCCCCTTTTCTCCCCTTCTCACCCGCGTTCTTCCCGATCTTCGTTCCTCTTGAGCTTAGACAGACGTGCCTCTGACAAAGATCTCACCCGTGGAGGAGAGACGTGGCTTCCCGATAATTCAATTTTGGAGGAAAAAACGCGGTACACCGGTTATTACGCGCTGATGAAAACAACGGTCCATCAGAAACGGTGTGAGAATGCGGTTTCAATCTTGGTTTCACCGCCGATCGTCATCGCATGAACAATAAAGTAATATAATTGTATACTTATTGATACGTATCATACAGATGTACTGAAATTTAATTATTATCTTTTCCTATTAATTTTTAAATTAAGGTGAAACTTTTTCAATTTTGATTACATCGATAGAATCTGGATTAAGTTTAATTTAATTTTGTTGTTCTCTTTTAAATTATTATTCTATCTGTGACATAAACAAACGAAAAAAAAAAGAAATATATATTAATTTCGCTTTCTCAAACAAACGTTGACGCAACGTCGGTCCTCAGCCGAGGACGCAGGTCCTGGATTCTGATCATCTTTCTCTCTCTCTCTCTCTTTTTCTTCGTTCCTTTGCCCTCTCTACGTCCTCCCCGCGTCGTCGGTTCCACCATGAAACGGTGTTCTCTGCCGTTTCGTTTTCGTTCTCTTCGAAAATGATATTCTGATATCCTTGTTGCATTTTTCCTTATGATTGTTATTAATCTTAAAATTATATCTTTAATAAATTAATAGCTATATTATTGAGAGAAAGAATAAGAAAGGGAGAGAAAGAGAGAGTTGTTTCTAGTTTCATGAAAATTATAGAACAAAAAATGTATTGGAATGTCTATTCCGAAGCAAGCGAGGTATCCAGGTTAGCGAAAGTATAAAATTGACGACAGACAAATGTATATGTACGTTCATATATCATATGTTCATATATGTACAACCAGTGTTTTGCCAAAGTAAAACTGACAGATAAATTCTTATCCCGAGATATAATGACATTTTTCACTTGGTTTCGCTGAAGGAGAGCAGTACAATTGCAAGGCACATAATGTATACTTTACTATAAAAATCCTTGCATTATATGGATTTCGAGAATGCCACTTTATCGATACGGCGTTCACAAGGTATCGTTATACAACGATGAGGAGCAATCTTAAAGTAAGTATAATTGTACCTGCATATTTTACGCGAATGATAGACATCAGAAATAAGATATTTCGATATACGCGCGGATCGATACTTGATCGATTACTAATTTAACTTTCGCATTTGTTTTTATTTCTCTTAAAAACAAAAATTTGTTACACTTCCTTATTTAATATTCATAAATTATAATGCAATACAAATTATATTGCAATTTTTGTGAATAACATTAATTTTGATACGCGCTTGGAAGTAGATAATTGCAATTGCTAGACCAATTTATTTATCTATCACCTCGCTAAATTAAGCAAATTAATTTTGTAAATTGATTAAGAAAAGATACGTTTTTTTTTTAAATATGAATATAATTTATAATACAAATTTTGATTATATTACATTGAATATAATTTATAATACAGTTTTTGATTACATTATATTGAATATAATTTATAATACAAATTTTGATTATATTACATTCAATATAATTTATAATACAAATTTTGATTATATTACATTGATTTGTGATGAAACTTATTCGATACACAAGAGCAGGGAGAATTTTCCTCTCATACCTCCACTGCATATAAGAGTCTTATATTCTGTATGCAGCTATTCCACACTGCAACGCTGCGTAAACAGCAATTTGCGCTCATTAGAGTAACGTTTAGTAGTGCTTAGCGCTTCCTCGGAGCGACCTTCCGCGTTCTTCACACAGATTAGGCTAATTCTCAGCATCAGGACAGTGCACCCGTAACTACAAAAGTGCAAAGAACGATGACACGGTAAATAACGCATATCACATCATCGATTTTGAAATATCGAGTTTGAACATAAAATATATCTCATACGAGAGAATATCATATTTTTCTTTGATATATGTATAATTATAATTTGAAATTTATATTTATATTATTTCTGTATGTTTATATTATTTAGGCACATAATGTATACTTTACTATAAAAATCCTTGCATTATATGGATTTCGAGAATGCCACTTTATCGATACGGCGTTCACAAGGTATCGTTATACAACGATGAGGAGCAATCTTAAAGTAAGTATAATTGTACCTGCATATTTTACGCGAATGATAGACATCAGAAATAAGATATTTCGATATACGCGCGGATCGATACTTGATCGATTACTAATTTAACTTTCGCATTTGTTTTTATTTCTCTTAAAAACAAAAATTTGTTACACTTCCTTATTTAATATTCATAAATTATAATGCAATACAAATTATATTGCAATTTTTGTGAATAACATTAATTTTGATACGCGCTTGGAAGTAGATAATTGCAATTGCTAGACCAATTTATTTATCTATCACCTCGCTAAATTAAGCAAATTAATTTTGTAAATTGATTTTTATTCCATGAATATTTAATAATCGTGTTTATCTCCTCGTATCTTCGTGCATCGTATTAAATTGTGCAACGCAAAGACTTTAACTTTTATTCATTTAATTCAGATAATATCTAGATGGAGGAACGCGTGGATTTTAAAATCACGCTTAATAGCCAAAAGATTATTGCTAAACACGATTTAACTTCGCCTAGCGAGTAGAAAATCGATGCGACGCAACAGGTTCTATAAATGTTAAATGTACCATTATGCGTATCTCGCATGTGTTACGCTAATTGGTCCCGACGCGCTGCACCGTGACATTTTCCATTTCACTCGACAAATGAGGCTTCGGTAAGATAGGTCGAACACATCGCTTCATGCTCCATTCGGCGATCGTTAATTAGTTCCCGCCAATATATCCTCCAAGTGTGCGACTATATAACGTAAAAGTCGAGCGCGTAAAAGGTATACGCTTTTGTGACGAGATTGCGTCGCGTCTTTTGTATAGCCTGGGCTCCTTAACGGGGACTCCTTCGTGTAGATAATTAGCAAAATTTTTTGGACAGCCGTGAATCTGTCGAAAATGACATATACGCGAAACTACTCGTCGGCGATGAGGTTGGGCATTCGTTTTTTTAAATAAAGTGAAACGCCTTGATCCTTTATATTACGACCGGTCTTTGAAACACCGCGCGCGCTAAATGCGTCCGCGTGTTGTGGAGGATGGATTATGTTTTAAGAGTCGAATTTTTTGCTTATCCGTTATTAAGCCCTATACTGTTTGATTAAGTCAGTCATCTTGTAAAAATCGTGTTGCTTTTGAAGCTCACCACGTATAAATAAATTTTACAGGACTTTCGGTAATTATTGACGCACGTGGACGTCATTTTTTGCAATTTGCTCAGCATTAAATATTTTTGCAGAATATATAATAAAATAAGAAATAAATAAAAATAAAATAAAAAAATAAAATATTATTTTTATTTCCATTATTGTGGAAGTTTAAATCGACAAAGCTCTCTTAATCGCTTATAGCGGCTGACTATTTTGAAATCTGATCGCCGACTTTGTCCACTGCACAATATGGTCTTTGAGACACCGCGCGAGGTGCTCGTAAGGGGTGTTGAAAAAAAGAAGAAGCGACCGGGAGAGCGAGTCGAGTCGGCGCGTCTCCGGCGCGTACGCGAGACAGGACGATAAATATCTTTATGCGCTGCACGTTGCAAGCGCGCACGACATTGTGGGCAATGGTCGTAAACCGACATGTTCGTGCTCCCCCTACGCGCCATCGCATCGCGCTCCCCTTGACCCCTTTCGTGTACCCGATGCCAGATTATACGCGCTGGACCCGTGGCACACCGACAACTTCATCCGCAGGGCGTCTCTGATTTATCCTTATTAATAAAACTTTAAAGTCCTGTTAACATGTGCCGGAGAGGGAGGAAGGGGAGAGACGGGATTGCCCGCGGGAATGCACGAGAGGGTGGGAGAGAATTCGTCACGACAGTGAAATTATTGCTGCACTCGAAATCGCGAATGAAAAATAAATGGAAGCTTAAATACGTATCATCGACGTGTGTTTATCTCCAAAATTTCCAAAATTAACAATGTATATATATTTACTCTATTCTTTTCAAAATTTTATTTACCATTTTTTTCATCGCAAGATTTACATTATTAAAATTTTGGAAATACGTATATATTAATATATTCAGATCTACTTTCCTCTCGCACATATTTAAAATATCAGCTTGATAAGTATATTTATCTTACAAGAGATCGTGATAAATTAATCACTGTTATAATGATTGTCAATATATAATGTTTCAACATACACATGTATAATAGCTACTTGATAATGAATGTCATATTGCGAGATAATATTGCGTTTTTCAAACGTGCCAAGTGGAATATAAAAATGCGAGAGAGGCATATATGGACGAGAGAAACGTCGCGATTGCGAGACAATATTGATTCTCCGATCGCACGGGCCCAAAGTTTCTCGGTCCGACTCGTATTACGACCACACATCTGGGCGCAGCGGGGTGCACGATGCAACGCCGGGGGGATGCGTTGAGCAGAGAGGGG